ACAAGAATTGAAATCCTTTGTATAAATAGGGCTGATTTAAATATTCCTTATGCGGTCGGCATATTTTTACAATGCTTACTGCGCCTTTTTTCTTTTTCTCTTTTTTTTTTTTTTTTTTTTTTTTTTTGGAAGGTCATCATTCTTTAACGCCATTGACATGATTTAATGGGAAACTTAACGAGGAGCGTCAGCGACAAATACTGCCGCCAACTATGTTTTACTTATTTTTAATTTTTTTTACAGGAATGGGCAGACAAAAGTGTTGACCATCTGTGGTTTGATCTTTAAGCAGGGAAAGTTGAAATGCTTTGAAGCATTGTGTCCCTGTGCTCCACAGTGCTCCGCGAAGCCCGGAATCTCAACTCTACTCCGGAGGAGAACACGGAACCTTCCGAGACGTCCCTCCCATCGAGGACACCCTTCCACGCGCCCTCCGCCCCCGAGCGGCCCAACATCTCCCCCAACCCGCCCTCTTACGCCGACCTGCTGTCCCAAGTTGACTCTCTGCTCTCGTCTTCTTCCCCGGCCCCCACCAGCGCTGCTCTGCTTCCCCGCCCCCAAGCCGTGGGTTCTCCTGGACACCCCGCACCGGGCCCGCTGGCCACGGGTCTCGGCACGGGCCCGGGCGTCGCCGCCCCCTCTAATCCCGTCGGCGCGCCCAGCTCGCCGTACCTCGGCAACGGCGACGGGTCGAGCTCGGACTCATTAGACAGGCAAGCGGCGGGGCAGGAGTTCGACGATGAAGACGAGGACAGTAGCGAGTACGAGAACCTGGTGAGCGAAGCCCCCCGCCTGCCCGTGACCCCCGCCAACCTTTTAGCTCGAAGTCGATTGTCGGCCCTGGGCCCTGACGGGGATGCTCGTGGGTCGCAGGCCACATAGAAATGCGGCGCCGGGTGTGTGCGGGACACTGACGCACCTTCTCAAGCAATCATGAAAAAAAAAAAAAGTGCCAGTCCTGAAAGTGAACGGCATGTGCACCAAGCATCCCGCAATGTCTTTTTTTTTTGTTGTTGTTGTTGTCTTATCTCCATTTTAAGGGGAAACATCGTCAGCTCACTGGAAGGGGGCACTTAATATTGTGTGTGTTTTTTGGGGGATTTTTTTTCCCCTACCACCCCCACCCCGCCTATGGGTGCTGCCTGGGTACTTAATTTGGGACGTGTCTGGTGTTTTAGGGTTATATACACAAGGAGGGTGTTACCTCTGCCAACCAGCGAAGTCCACAGAAAGGCAGGTCCTGCTTCCCCCTCTCTTTTTTTTTTTCCATATTACACTAACACACACTCTTGCATCACTTTTGCACTATTTATTGCCTTCATTTTGAAACCACCTCTCAAAGAAAACAAAACAAAAGGGATGTGATTAATCTGCCTTTTCACTTTTGTGTTGGACTACCAATTGTTTTCTCGTGCACGTTGTCATTTTTGATTTGGGATTTGTAACTGTTAACGAATGATCGATTCAGTACAAAAAAAAAAATTGAATCATTGGGCAAGTAAATGACAACTAGATCAGCCACGTATGAGTGCTTTATATATAAAATCTATATTTTCTTTTGATGTGAGATTAGACACGAATGTCAACTGAAAAACACTGAAATTGTATCGCGCTTCGCTGCACTTAACATAAGAAAAATGTACGATTTTCTTTGTGCTATACCAATGAGGTCCTGTCTTGCTACTTGTAACGCCCAGTCTAACCACTCCAGCTCTTGGTACATTGTACAGGGGCTTCACAGGGCACACACAAACACAATGTACTGTAGCTTTACTAACCGGATGCTTAAGGGGTTCCCTTCTACTGCTGCAACACACAGAGCTACCACTAAACTTCATTTAGAGAAGAAAAAAAAAACCCACAACAACCTGGCTGCTCTATCCACTTTCCTCTGCTCCTTGCTAATATTTCTGACCATAATCACTTGACGCTCACCTCTCGCTCACTTGTTAACTATTAAAGTCATTCATGGAAGGCTTGGTAACATTTGTAATGTGTGACTTTTAACCGCGGTGATCATCACAACAGCTTTGCTTTCTATTTATGGCGCAGCAAAATTTAGGTCTCTATTACAGCTTTGGTGGTGGTTCTCCCCTCTTGGCTAACAATGACCACCACCCAACTGTCGCTGTTCCCATCACCCCCCCCCCCCGCCTACCCCCCTCCAGGAAACACTAAAGTAGAAGTACAGTAGAGTCACGACTGTGACTTTGCCATCTTTGTCGATAGAAACAGAAAGCCACTACAAAGGCGCATGAAACCCGCTCGGTCATTTTGAGAGGACTAAAATAAAAGTGGAACAGTCTAGTTTTAGGGCAATGCAGAAGCTCGACGGTGTATGATGCGGTTACCAGCGGGTTGAACTGATGTATTTTGTCTGGAAAACAAGCTTTTAGCCATGTAAAGACATTTGTGTGCACATTTGTGGGTGATTGGGGGGCTTCAGGCCTGTCTCATTTGCATCACTGATCAGGAACTGGCATTGTTTAAATGTGACTTCACAATCGCAATCTCATGACGTACAAAAAACCTGACATTTGTTGTATGCTTTTCCCTGGAGAACTGGAGCGTGTGATGAGCAAAATTAAGTATTGAATGTGCAGTCGACGAGGGGGTGGGCGTGGTGGCATGAGTTGAATTTTGAGCCAGGAGTTTGGGAGACATGCTCTCAAAAGCCCCTCCAATGATTCCTATCCCGTTTGGATGGTGGCTCACTTCCAAGTTGTTCTGGTTTCAACTCGAAATGTTTCCCATCCATCCATTTTCTATTGCGTTTGCCCTCATAAGTGTGTTGCTGGAGTCAAGCCCAGCTGAATTTGGGTAAGAGGCGAGCTACACCCTGGATTGGATGTCAGACAATTTGTAATTTGCAAACTGCCCCCATTCTAACTTCCGTGAAAGTTAAAACCTCTGCGCAGTAAAACTAGACAAAATGCAACAAATCTGTTTGCATGCTAATTGTTAGCTATTTTGCTTTTAGCTACGTGCTGTTTACATCAGCAGTTTTTTTGATCCAATTCATCTTTTGTTTGTATTGCTCGTAATTAACTGAGCAGTCAGGTTCTTTTAGCGTCACAAGAAGGAAAAAAAAAAAGAAAAATACCAGGATTTCCATTTCAGATGCTCACTGGGCTGAAGTCTTATACTACCTGATGTCACCCATGGTGGGTGTTTTTGAAGTTGTAACTCAAATTTGTTAGCCTCATACCATAAAGGACCAAGTCTTTTTTTTTTTTTTTTTTTTTACATTTTCGGAAAACAAGAACAGTCCAGTAACCTGGATGTTTCGCAATCTACATGTACTTAAAGAAGCAAGCACATTGTTATATTTGAGTGAAATCAAGACAATAAAGGTAACTTGGGCAATTTTGCGATGAGGCTAACAAAATTGTACCACCTTTCAGACTGTTCCATTGTATTGACTCTTGTTTCCTTGCGTAACCTCAACTTGATGATCAAAAACACAGCAGGGCTTTTTTTTTTTGTTGTTGTTTTTAATTTTTTTTTAAAGATGTAATGGACACTCATGTACTCATAACGGCACGGGGTAATATACTTCCTGTTCTCTTCCTACGCTGAATGGGACACCATGACACCTCCTCCCTGAATCACAACGCCGAGGGAGTCTTTAAGCTTTGATCTGGATTTGTGCAAATGGCAGAAGAGAAAAGGCATGGTTGATTTGAGCACAGTGTGGTGTTACACTAGGGGGTTAATAAAGAGAGGTGTGTATGCGGGATGATGTGTCTGTTTTCTCTGAGGTTTTTTAAAATGCATAACAATTTGTGGAGTTTATATTCATGTTTGCACTATAAAAATGGGCAATACGGCGCTACATGGTTTTTGCTCACTGGTCTAAGTTTTACGGTTGGAGTTTGAATCTGCTTCCTCCTAACATAACCCCCCCCAAAAACATGGATGCTTGGTTCATGGAAAGCTGAACACGGCGCCTGTGGGTTGCCTCTGCGAGGACCACACACTTGCTCGGGGGCCTGTTCTAAATATAGCTCACGAGTTATGGTACACACAAGTGATAAATTATCAATTCATTTAGAATAAAAACACGTGAAGATTTATAGAAATAAAATGTAGCACACGATCCTTTCCTTCCTTGTTAAATCATATTTGATACTCAAGTCATTGAGTAACAGCAAATTTATTTCAGTGTGCATCAAAACAGTAGCCCCTCGCATTCATCAGTGCCCAAGAAGTAGGTCTCAGTTTCAAAAAGGTTTGTGACCCAATAAAATTGTACATTGGAGTGATGTAAGGATTTTATTTTCCTTCGGGGTTAATAAAAGCGAGATATGCATATAAGGTTGGTTGGTTGTGCAATATGTTTTAAATGCAACAAATTTGTGGGATTGCATTTTTTTCTGAAAAACAAAAAAATCCTGCAAAAAAAGGAAAAGAGTGGAAATGGCTGCTCAAAATCGTTGATGAAACATGACTTTTGAAGCCAGTGTTTGCGCGTCGGGCTGACATTGAAGCTGCCATACATTACTGCAGGCTGCTTGCAGTATTTTCACGATGACATCATCCCTTCGGAGCCTATACCACGTGGTTAATTGCTATTCCCGCAACAACAATGTATACACACACACATTGCCAAGCTTGCGATCAAAAAATAAATAAATAAAAGATTCACTTTTGCTCTTAAATAAACAAATCCGCCGACTGGGCTGGGGGAAACTGAACCAATTGGCAAATGGGGTTGTTATTCCGGATGACATTGAAGTGTACTGTTTTGCTCTACCGTACCCCTTTAACATGAACAATGAGGTACGTCTGTTCTGATTGGTTGACGCGAGAGGATGCACGGAAATCAGCCAATGGCAAAGCGCGGCAGATTCAGGTAGTAAATCCCTGGTCCTCCCTCCTCAACAGTCAGAGGGCTTCCATACTTCTCTCGTTAGTGTGTTTTTAGCCCTTGCCTCGTTCGTTTCCTCCCATCCGTATCGTCATTAAAAGCCCTTCTGGTCGGCGAAAAGGGAATCAATATGATTTGAAGAGTCCAACGCGGACAACCGAGGAGGGACGGGGCTCGAGAGAGTGGGTGGAGGCTCTCGCCCTGTGGCTTATATGGACCTCCGCCATCCAGCCAAGTCAATATGCGACTAGTGTCGGCTACGTGAGAGAAGCCCGAGTGGCTTCGGCTGGGAGTGGGCTCTCCACGGCGAACGAAACGAGGTAAGGGGATTCTTGTTGTGTTCAACCGAACGACTTCCCCCTTACGAAGCGCAACAAAAACATAACAAGTTCGTGTTAGCAGCGCACGGGCGGCTAGCTTGCTCTGTAATTACTTATCTGGCAGGCTGTCAAATCTCGTTGAGTTTGTAACGCGAGGAAGCAAATCTCGCGATATTTCAATCGTTCTGGGAAGTTGTTGACGCGCTGGCTGACGCCAAAGCGTGTTTCGTAGCTGGATTTGAGCACGAAACGATTAGCGCGTCACCTGTGAACCTGTTCAAAAAGAGCGTCGTACCTTTGGAAAAAAGTGGCGCGAGTCAGGTTGTTGTTGTGGGGATGTGAGGGGAAAAAAAGGCGCCTGCGGTGCGTTTTTTCGCGCTCATGTGATGAATTTCTCACCGTGTAAACAAACATCCCAGCCCCAATGTAAGCAATGCGCATGCGCTGTGGATTATTCACATTTTTTTATTTATTTGTTTATCTTTAATAGGCTTTGCGCTGAATTAAATTCCACTACGTGGGTTAAGTGTCTAGGCAGTCACGCGTCTTCCCTGCTGGGTGTCTGCTTTCACCCCCCCCCCCCCCCCCCCCCCCCGAATGTATTTTGTGATTTCTTCTCTTGATTTTCTGTTTGCCGCATTATGCTTGCTTTTATGAGTGTCTTTGAAGTCATTGTTGATTTACGTTTTCGGGGGCGGTCATTGAACGCCTCTT